CTCATTTTATGTCCGGAAACAAAAAAGAAAATTTATTCTTTTTTTTGTTTCCTAACACAAAAATTAAATTGGTTCATCTAGGAACAAAAAAATAAATCGATTTTACCAAACGAGTTTTCTATTCATTTCTGTTCTCGGAAACAGAAATAAAAAAAATTGATTTCAGAAAGATTGTCATACGTATCCTAAAAAAGAGATTAAAATTCATTTTAAACCCATACTTAAAAATAAAATAAACACTTAAACGTAAATAATTACTTCGACATTAATATCACATCGGTGAAATGATAATTTTTTTTATACCTCATTGAAATGATATTGGTTGCATTAGTTGTTGTAAGTTTAGTATGCACACATGTCATCTCTGCTCGTGTGTATAATGTGTGAAGTTTTTGTTCGAAGTTTTGAGATAAAGAGATAACTGAAAACGTCGGCGTAGATAAGGGTGTTTATCCCCGGATTTGGGAATGAATTTGACTGCACGTGCACTTCACGTGTCACCCCATGCAGAAAATTATATATATATATAGAAAATATGTTGGATTATGTAACAGGACAATCGAAAACTTTCCTGCACAAAGAACAATTGGGAGAGAGAAAGAAATATAAGGAGAGAGAAATAAAATTTAATAGGCCCCATATCAATTGTTGTTTGTGCTGGACACTTTTAGTTTTTTATGTTACATGACCAATATATATATATATATATATATATATATATATATATATATATATATATATATTCAACTAAAGTTAAAGTTATCCCATTTTTTTCTCCTCTTATTATAATGGAATTCACTTGCTATTATGAGTGCGAAAAAAAAGGTTTTGTGTGTAAAAATATAAATGTTGAAAAAAATATTTGTCCTTTTAAAGGATATAACTTTATGTTATTTTAGATCTTAATCGTTAATTTTCGTCAATCAATGAAAATAATTTACTGAGTCAAACTTATTAATTAATTAGTAATTTACAATAAAACTCAATAAATATTAACTGTTGATTTGACTGAAATTAATGGTTAGTATTTAAAATGACATAAAATTATATTATTTAGAAGAACAAATATTTTTTCATTTTTTATTTATTTGAAAGAGAGAGAGTTTATATTTTTTGAGGGTGGTTGAGAATAGCAATTGATTGCATAGACGTGAAGTTGATGAGCGTGGGAATAAGTCGCCAATTATAATTGCCCGGGGGAGCAAGTGAAATGCCATATTTATTATGATCCACAATGGATTAGTTTATGTTATGTCTTGAGCATAGAGATGTCTAATCTAATAGGTTAGTAAATTACTTTTGAATATATGTGCTCTCTAAGGTATTTATGAATTAGATACTTTTGAGTTTAGTATATTACTGTACACAAAGAATAAAGAATAATTTTTTTCAAAGGGGTGGTGTGTGTGCACAGTGATAGCATAACAATAATAGAGAAAATAGTCATACCTGTAGGTTTTACCTCATATTTATAGGGTTTACCTGTGAGTATTAGGATTCTGAACCTTCTATGTCTTTTCTAGCAGCACAATCTCATGTTTAATACTGTCATATTAAGATTAATATTTTTGATGAATATTTTTCTTTGATTATATTATATCATATTTGTATTTAGATTTCTCCTTATTAGATTTTATATTAAATAGGCCTCAGTCCATAACACAATCTTCTTATCAGTTATTCCCAAATAAATGGAAGAAATCACGTACGTATAATCCTCCTAACCAATACAAATATTAAATAGTTTAAAAATATTTTAGTTTTACCATTCAGTAGTTAAGATGATTATTAAAAAAATAAGTTGGAGGGATTTATAAATATATTTCATGCATAGATTTAGTTTATACAATTGTAAATTAATATTTAAAAAAATGATGCACATCATTATATCTTTGTTTTTGTTTTTGGTAAATAAATAGATTTTGTTTTCTTACCCTTTCATTTCATCTGTTGTTACCAGAAAGTATATTTGTTAGCTTCTCTTTCATTTTCACACCCCTCTTGCAGCTTTTGCACCTTCTAGTATGTTCGTAGGCGATAAACTAGTGTCCTGATGAGGAGTAGATATATGCTATTTTTGAAGGAAAAAAATAAAATAAACCGTGACAAAATGTTTTTTTACCTGTCAAAACTGTGACTCATACTCGACTTGTTGTATATGTGAGGGGGGGATATAATCAAGCGTTTTTTCCCCGTATGGGGTACTATTCCTTACACATTAGGGCAATATCTTTAATGGGTTGGAGAGGGGCTATCTATCTAGCTTAAGATAGATTCTGTAGTAGCCGTCAATGTTTGTTCGTTGATAATCTGAATGTAGCCCATATCTCTTTGGACCACTGACTGAGCCCAATTCACTACATGAAGTGCATTCTTCTCAGCACGCCCATTCCTCCATAAAGAAAGACAGAAAGAAGAAGGAAAGAGAGGAAGAGGGAATTTTTCTTTTTTCATTTTTTTTTAAACGGCAAACTCATGTAAACATTTTTACTTTTTTTGCGTACACGAAGAAAAAATACTTACGGTAAATTACCACAATATTAACTCATATGGGAAGTGAGAAGAATTTCAGTGTTCGCGGATCACTATTTACTCAGTAATTCGAATCAATCAAAATCATACAACTAATAAAAAGAGAGGAGAGAAAATAAATAAAAAATATTTTTTTGTCCAAATGTCACCTCTTGAATAGAAGGATCATGTAGCACAAAAAAATTCCCCTTGGAAGTGGGAAGCAACACACAGAGTGAATGCAATTCAGGAAGGCAATGATCATTCACAGGTTTGTGCTTCCTGCTGACAAAGAGGACAATGGTCATTATCAACGCGTGTCAACGTTTTGAGCCAAAGGCAAAGAGTCCTTTAAAGTTGAATAACATTAGGGTGACGCACACAAACTTTTTAAAAGATATATATATGGATCCTAAGAAAACTTTTTTCAAGACCAAATCCTCTTGCCATATGCAATTGTATTTTTTCCCCCTTATTTCGTGGAAATAACTACATAATTAAGAACTACAAAATAAGATTTGAAGGGAATAAATTCTAATGATCTTATGTAATCTTCTGATGGATAGCGTAGTGTTTTGTTACTCGGGCTGTTGAACCTTGGTGTGCCTCTCTGATTATGGTTAGAACTTAGTAGTAAATGTAAATCAGTGCGATCCATAAGTGAACAACACGAAGTTTACTATTTACTAATTATTTTAACTTCATTGACAGTTTAGTTTGGTTCCAATGACAATTAGATTGAATTTGAAGACTTATGGAAGTACTAAAAGAAAGTCAACATTACTTATTTCTTAAAAAAATTCATTGAATTTTTGAATGTGTATTGGATATATATTTTCTGTTTTTCTTTGTGCTCACTGAAAGATTATATACTATAACTTATTTTTCAAAATAAATTACATATCACACTCTATTACCCGGTTAATTAGATTAATATCTAATTTGCTAATAAAATTGGGTTGACGTAACCGAGTTGTCAGGATTAAATTAATGATCCCTCCCTAAATAGCGTATTGTATTATTCTCTTTAAGTTATATATTGAAGCGTAATGAAAATGTTACTATTTTGTCTACAAAAAATAAATAAATTATATTGGTATCTTGCATTTGCAATATTTTAATATTATAATTGACTAACTATCACAAGATAATTTGACGCCACTAATAAATATTGCATAAACAAAAGAGTTTGCATTATCTCATTCATCTTAGATATTCAAATCTCTCTTTAGATACCCTTGCTTATCTTCTTCTTCTTTTTTATCAAAAAAAAAAAAAGATTCAGTATTTAAGCTTATCTGTTTAATACACTTCAATATAATAAGATAGAGTTCTCCATTTTTCTTTTTTGATGGAGGAGTTCTCCCTTTTAAAAGTGAGATAATGTTGTATTATTACTATCATTAGTAATCTCTTTTTTTGAACAAATATGAAACTAAAAACAGAAAAAAGATTATCCTATATAGCTACTACAGCAACTGATGACTTTTCTTATTTGTTAAAAACTCTTGAACTATTAATTACTTTTTGTTTTTCTTTTTTGATACTATATGAAGGGAAAGCCCAACAAAACGACTAAACCAACGAAATAGTCCTAGCTCTGAAGACAGCTGAGCAATCACCTAATTAAATACAGCAATCTACAAATTACTTTTAATTTACTCCTAATTATCAAATATTTTTAATTTTTATTTGTTATGTTAAAACTTCTCATATTTCACAATTCTCAATTGTTTATACTTTTAAAATAATTACTTTTAATTTTTTATTATTACATAAATTTCTTTTCTCCCCAAAGCTCCAATCAAAATATGAGAAGTCAAGGCTTGTGATTGGGATAATCAAGGATTGCAACAAATTTGTAAAGAATTATATATCACATAAGTTTGTTCTTGTGATAAATAAAAAATGGGTTTTATATTTATCATTTAACATGATATAACTTCATTTTCCTACACACACATTAAAGAGGTGGAGTTCACATGTTTTTCTTTCTCTTTCATCATTTTACTTTCTCTCTCCTTTTTGATGTAAGAATTGGACACAACACTTACATCACGTTACATAAAACTAATAAAGCCCATAAAAGATTTACATGCAAATATAGAAATGATAATAAATTTGACGAGAGTGGGAGAGGAAAAAGTTTGAAAAAGTAAGCAAAGAAGTGAGAAATGGGGCCCAATATCCAGCTAATGGGTATCCCATATTCCCATCCCTCCTCAGAATCCTTTCCTTTCTTTGATGAGAGTGTGTCACGAACTCTGTCGCTTTTTCTTTTGCTTTTCCTCTTCTCAATAATTTTTTGTTTTAATTATTTCTTAGGTCTCCAAAGCACCTTTATTCCCTGGGTACTACAAAAAGCTATATGATACATGTGCGCATATTGAAATCCTCAAGGGCCTTTTCCACTCAACCCAATCCAACCCTCCATTGATGTATAGTATTATTTCTCACATGCAAAAGAATTAATACTAACGAAGAAGAACATGGCAGAGTTTGATTATGAAGAGGTTGTAAAAGCAACAGATAACTTCAACCCAACAAGGCTCATAGGCAAAGGAAGCCATGGATGGGTCTACAAAGGTGTACTCTTCCAAGATAACAACAAGTTGGTAATTGCTGTGAAGAAGCCATCTCAATCTCTTCATCAAGAAGACAACTCCAAACTCGAAAACGAAATTCAAGGGTTATCCTCTTTACGTGAAAGCCCTCACGTGCTTAAACTTGTAGGGTCGACGACGAGTCATCGTCATCGTCATCATGATCATGATGATGATGAGTACAGCTCGTTCAAGCTCATAGTAATGGAGTTCATGCCCAATGGTTCACTCCATGAGTGGCTCCATGCTTCTAAAACCCCACCCACATGGCTTAAACGCTTCGAAATCGCCATGCAAATAGCTCGTGCCTTGAAATTTCTTCACCAAGGTAAGCCTTTGGTCATTCACAGAGACATCAAGTCATCCAACATCTTGATTGATTCACAATGGAACGCAAAGTTAGCAGATTTTGGACTAGCCATCGTCATAGACCGAATTGATGAGCCAGTAGTGCCGAGTCAACCCGCTGGTACAATAGGGTATTTAGACCCGAGTTACACCACACCGAGTAAACTCAGCACCAAAAATGACATGTTCAGTTTTGGGGTTGTGTTATTGGAAATCATGAGTGGTAGAAAGGCCATTGATGTGTGCAAAACCCCTGCGTCAATAGTGGAATGGGCAATTCCATTAATCGAAGATAAGCTATTTGATGAAATATGTGACAAGAGAATTGCATTGCCTCCAGCTGCATACATGGTGAACAACATCACTCATTTATTAAGAGAGGCTGCACGTTGTGTGTCACCGAACGAAGATGATCGTCCATCAGCGGAGGAAGTGATAATGGGAATGGAAAAAAATAGGTTGGTGGAACGAGTCAGGTTTCCCATTTGGACAAGCTTTTTGAAGAGCATGGTGAGGTTGAGAAAGAAGAGGAGGAAACTAGTGATGATGAGTACTGTTACAACAAAACAAGAGGGTGAGGTTGAGGTTGACAGTGATCATAAGTATAACCATATGTCAATCACCATAAAGGAGGTTTTGGCTCATGTTAGCTAGCTAGATTGGGCCGGGTAATAGTTGACTCGTTCTGAAACAGGTGACTCATCAAACTCGTTTTGGTCATTAATGGTTGTCTGTTTAATTTCCAAAATATAAATTGAATTTTATTTTTTGGTTTCTTTTTTTGGCCCGCAGACATTCCGTAGGTGTTTGGTACGCGATATTCTTTTTTTTTTTGGAGTTACCAACCTTAATTATCTCTTTGAGACGAGTTGGCTTCCTTCGGTATCCCCACGAGCTTCGACTCTTTGAGCCGGCTATGGGACTAATCCGGAGTGCGGGGAACAATGATGGCTAAAGTTTCAGCCCCCTCCCCAAGAATGCATTCAGCGGAAATCGAACACATATCCAACCCCACTAACTCAGCTCTAAGTTACCAACTGAGTTGCACCCATTGGGTTGATACGCGATATTCTTCAACATTCACGGGAAATTAATTTTTTTTTTAAATTTTTAATTTTCAAATATTATCTTAAATTGAACGTAAAAATCATATTTTAAAAAATCGAAATTCTCGACAGAAGAAAATTTTTCTTCTGTCAAATGCCCCAAAACTTCGGGATGCCCATGTTTAAGTTTTTTTTTTTCTAGTTTAATATGATATTTCTACGTCAAAATCTTTGAATTATTTTTACATTTTATTTGTTTAAAAAATAAAGTGAAATGTATTTACTAGATTTATTTATGGTTCTCCTCCATTTATTGGATTCTTGATGGATGGATTGGTGTCCGACTTGACTTGCTGGGGAGTGGGGACCTTTGCCTTGTATTTGTATTGTATTAATTAATACTATGAAAATGAGTTATAGAATAGTTATCTTATTCGACTGCTACGTTTTTGTTTTATTTAATTAAACAGATTTGGACATTTCGCTTTCATCGCTGGTATCTGTCTTGTATACTTTTTTCTTGGTATGCCATAAGTGAGCCTTGGTAATTAAGTTCATAATGATATTAGTCCTGTTATTAATAATATTTAATTTTTTCAATTAAGTCAACCCATTTTATCAGCATTTTTAATTTAAACAGCGTACTCTCGTATTTAATAATTTTAATTCCACATGAATTTTAAACCTAGAAATGCTATACGGTAGAAATTTCGCACAACCTACGTTAATTCATCATGCCTATATATATATATATATATATATATATATATATATATATATATATGTTTTATTTTACTTTTGTCAGTCACTTAACGTACAATGAATATATTCGAAGAATCATAATTATACAAAGGTGGATGAAAGTATTAAATACAAAAAATTATAATCAATTAACGATGTAAGATTCATTACTGGACGTCCAGCTGTTCGAAGAAATAATTTTACATTCGTGTGCATGCGTGTGTAATTTAAGAGTTCTTTTTCAATGACATCTTCTCTCGATAAATAAATGATAATTACGAGAATGTTTGGATGTCCTTTTTTTTCTTCCAAAAATTACTTTTTATAATAAAAAAATCATTCTTGATATGTATGAGTGTTTAGATATCTGTTTTTAAAAAGGCAAAAGTCACAAACTAATTTTAATTTTTTTTCCCAAAGCTAAAATTTATGAATTAAAAAAAAAGCAAAAGACAAAAATCAAATATTGTTTAAAAATTCAAATTTGCCTCAACTCCAATCTCAATTCCATCAATTTCACTTTTGTTTGTATCGTCGTCATCACCACCACCATACTCTGCCATCACTTTCATCTCCAACTCCACCATTTGGGTCAGCAAAACGGATTCGGCTTGGCGGGCCGACCCGCCCTCCCCGACAAATAGGACGGGTCAGGACTGACTGACTCATTTTTTGGCAGATTAATGACAGGATGGGGCTAGTTAGTGTAAAACAAGTTCGGTTGGGACGAACCGAATTTTTCAGCCCACTTTCAAAAACGGGGCGGGACGAAATGGGCTGCCCGCTTTGCCATCTCTATACACCATTATCACCACTAGATTATCATCCTGTTTTTGCCACTACTACCACCATCATATTTGCTCTTAGTTTTCACATATTACTTTTAGTAATTTTATAAATAAAAAATACTTTTAAATTTTAATATTGAAATAATATATTTAGTGAAAAGTATTTTTTTTTTACATCTAAATATAAAATAATTTTAACTTAAAATAATATAAATCTATATATTTTAAAAGAATAAATACTTTTTTTTTTCCATTAAGTAATGTATTTTAAATGCCAAAATTAGTAGGGTGGGCAAGTGGGCATGAATGAAGTCAATTGGGCCCAAAACTTTGGATGGGCCAATAGTTGCAAGTACAAGAAACGCTTCAATTTCTGTTTGTGGTGCTGCAAGTGCAATCCGAATCCGGTTTAGTCCGGTTCAATCTCCGGTTTTAGAAAAGCAGGAATCCGACATGAACATGGAAACCCAAAGCTTCATACTCCTTCCAATTTTTTCTCGTCCTTTAACTCCTTCTATACCTCCTTGAAACCCTAACCCTAAAATTCTTCTTTCGTGGAACAAAGAGTGAGAGAGCGAGCGAGCGATGGAGACTCACTTCAATCACAGTCTCTTCGAGAGGCGCCCCTTCCTCAAGTCCAAGGCTCCCGCCGTTAAATGGGTCAAAGAATGGTACTACCACTTCTCATTTATCAATTGTTTTATACTTTATGATATTAAATTTTCTATCTTTTTGTCAATTTGTTTATCATAATTCTTTTTGTTTTTTTGGGGGGTCTGAAAATCATGGAAGAAGCTCTTTGTCATCTTTTTCTTGTTGGTTCTTCTAATTTAAGGGAATTTTTTTATATTTCGAGCATAATCGTATCTGACCGTGTTCTATATGTTATAGAATTGGTATTTGTTGGATTTCTATAGTGAAAGGCAACATCCAACAAATGTAGAAGTAGGCAAAAGGAGTTATCTGGATTAAGAATTTTATTCTTTCTGTTTTGAATTCAATAATCGTTTTTTTAATCAGGTAGCAATTTATTACGCTTATAATCACAGCAATGTTACTTGCTACCAGGGTTCCCCAAGATGTTGTAGCAACCGGAGGGAAGTGCATGCTCTTAAGATGGGTAACAGGTTCGTCCATTTTGCTGGCTACCAAGCTTCACTCCTGACCCATTCTCTGGTTGCCTGTCTGGTCTTTTTTATGTTGCTATTCTGTTTTATTTGGTTTCTGTATAGAGCCAGTTGCGTATATGTCAAAAATAAATAATAATAATAATTATTATAATAATAAAACAATTAAGAGATCTCTGATTGACCCCCCTTCCTTCTGATTAGACACCACAGTATGGAATGAGTTGAATTTAAATCCCACAAATTAAGCACCCATAATTTTCCCTTGAGATATAGTTTGTATCATGTGTAATTGTGTTCCCATGTTCCTTGTTAGATGATATCCTTAATTTAATGATGATTCTTAACTTGCTCCAAATAAATCTACATGTATGAAATGGGACCTTATGAAGAGAAATTATTGGGATCTTGACCTGCACCTTGCAGATGGTGTCTAATCTGTTCATGATTCTGCATTTCTGCATTGGTTTATGGTTTGAAATCTTGAATCTTTGTATGCCATGTTTCTGTTTCTGACTTGCTGTAACATTTATTTTTACAACACATTCATATCATTAAGTATTTTTAAATGCTTGTACTAATTCTAAAAGGAATGAAGCTTTAAAGCATGTGATTAATTGAAGTTTAAGGATGCCTTGCATCTAAGGGACTATTGTATTATGTGTAATTGTTGTTTTATCTTGTGTTTTGTCTAACATTTTTCTTTCCGTAGAGGATACTTTAAAAGCCTTGAAAGAGAAGGAAAAAGAACCTTCAGCACCCGAGCCAGAACCTGAGCCAACTACAGAAGTACTTTTTCTTTGCAGCTATGAAGGCTGTGGAAAGACATTCATAGATGCTGGTGCTTTGAAGAAGCATTCTCACATCCATGGAGAGAGGCAATTTACTTGCCATTATGAGGGATGTGGAAAGGTAGTGAGTTTGTTACTTCAGACAAACACACACATGCGCGTGCACATCACACACCTATGCTGTGTATTATCTCTAGGATCAAATCTCCTTAAAGTTTGAATTGTTAGGTGGAGGCTTAGGAATGGGATATAAACATATGCATGTGTTTTTTTGTATGGTTTTGACAGACAAGGTTCAAGATAGATCCTTGAACAATTTTTCCTTTTGATTTCAGAATAAAATTTTTATTTATTTTATTTATTTATATAATGCTATTTCTCACGTTACAGCTATTCATAGTTTGCCATTTATTTTAACGTCAGGTCTATTTAGAAAATGCTAAGAATATTTTGTTTCCGTTGCAGAAATTTCTGGACAGCTCAAAGTTAAAAAGACATTTCCTCATTCATACTGGGGAGAGGGACTTTGTATGTACTTTTGAAGGCTGTGGTAAGGTGATAAATCTTTCCATTGGAAGGGTCTCTTCTATTTTTATGTGATGGTTTCCTTTCCTTAGCTGGTGTTGAATGTTCTGTTTACTGATCTCTTAAGGTTTGCATGTTTGGATTTTCATTTAGCTTCATGTTTGGCATATTCTATCATGCCCTGAATATGAAGCAACAATAATTTTTTTTCTGTTCGCTCTGAACCTGACTACTGATCTGTTTTTTTCTCCCAATTGGAATGATCAAATACTTAAGCAGAACCGACTGCGAATCAAAAAAAAAATAAAAATACTTAAGCAGAAAAGCCCAAGCCGTTTGGTAATGAGGTAAACAACAGCCCTGCGGTGGGTTATTGAACCTCTGATATAGAGGATGACCAACTGGTTTGGAAATTTATCAGTTTAAAACAATATACAGCAAATCCTGTTTGGTGGTTGACACTTGACAGTATTGTTACTGTTTAATGATTGTTACCTTTGTCATCATGGTTTGTGAATAAAAAGTGTCTTTCTCAATATGAATCTTTCACTTAACAGCCCTGTGGACGAATCTGACATGAAGTTGGTTCTTGACTCAAGATAGATGTGAAGATGTAGAGAATTATTCAAACCTTTTTAGTATTATTGTTATCGAAGCATCTTAAAAAGTCTAAACTACCACTTACAAAGGATAACTTTGGTATCATATTGTCTGGATGCATTTTTCACTATATTATTCATTGATGAGCTCTAAGATTCTTTTGTGTCAATATGCAGGCCTTCTCCCTGGATTTCAACCTGAGGTCTCACATGAAGACACATTCACAAGAGAACTATCATATATGTCCATACCCGGATTGTGGAAAGAGATATGCTCATGAATACAAGCTAAAGAATCATATTGCATCTCATCATGAAAAGGTAATATTTTCCTTTTTGTGTAGAATATCACCTTAAACAAGCTTTGATTCACAGTTTCGATCTCATCTTACAGAATACACCAGTGGATGTGACAAAGTATACACCGCCTTCGGAGAAACAAACAAAAACTACTAAACCTTCCGGGGGAAATTACGGTTCGGCATCATCTGATCGCCCACATGCATGTCCTTATAAAGGGTGTGAAAAGGCCTACATTCATGAATACAAGCTTAAACTACATTTGAAGAGGGAGCATCCTGGCCATATGTCTGATGAAAATGCTGTGCATGCCCAGGCTAATGTTGACAACGAAATGGATGAAGCAAGTGACCAAGATGCCTATGGCAGGAAACAATCAAATGGTAAAAGTCAGAAACAAAGTAGGCCCAAGCCAAACCTGAAGTTGCCTCCTCCCAAAATTGCCCAACGAAAAGGGTCAGCTCCAACTCCTGCCACTTTGAATGTGATTAAAAAACCTTGGCCAGTGAAAGATGAAACATACGATGAAGACAGCGAAGAAACTGAGGAGGATGGCGACAATGTTGAAGATGGTTGGAGATATGCTGGAAACAACGAAGATGATGATGAGGAAACAGAATATGAAGACTGATATTTACCTATGGCATCTCCCTCTCTTATTTCTACTCTCCTCTAAGGTCTGTTTTCTTTTTATTTACTTTAAGAAATGCCATTTTCTTGTCATACACAGTATATTGGTTATTGGAAGCATGAATTATGCGGTAGGATGAATTTATATTAATAAAAGTTGATGTAATATTCTTATGGTTTCGATATTTTCTGCTGACGGCATAGTTTTTCATTTTAATGTTCTGACGCTTTTTTTTAAGACCATGGTTGATGAACTTTCTTCCTCTTAATATCATAGCAGATGCCATATTATATAGAAAATAAAAAATTAAATAAAATAAAAGGGGTAGAACTCTGTTCACTCTTTTTTTTCTTTATATTCAAGCGAGTAAAAAGGGACGAATAAGAGTAGTGGTAAAGTTGTTTTTTTATGACCGAAAATTTATGGATTTGAATTCATGAAATAGTATTTTTGCAATTATGCAAGGATAAAATTGCGTATTAAGTGATTTTTTTATTAAAGCAAGTAAAAATTGTAAGCAAATGAAAAGGGGGAGAGTATTGAATTATGTTTTCAAAAATAATTTTTTGATTTAAAAAAAAATCTGTTTGATAAGGCTTATTTGTTAAAAATAATTCTAAAAATTACAACTTTTTCTATTTTTAAAGTTAAATTCAGAGAAGATATTTGAATTGTTTTTGTTTTATATTTTACCTTTTGACTTTCAAAATATAAAAATTATAAAAAATATATATTTCATTAATTATTCTGCAAAACAATTTTAAGAATAAAAAAAAAACACTACCAAACAAACCCACTGTCTCTCCCTCATTTTCTTTATTTGGATTTTTTATCCGATTTCCAAACTTAATTTAATTGTTTTATATTTTATCGTATTTAAACATATATTGATACTTAGATAGATATCTAATTTATATGAGATTGATTAAAATATAAGTTCAATTTATTATGTCTAAATCTATTTTTTTTCAATGTTTTTTATATCTTTGAAATTAATTCAAATAATATAACCTTTAAAATAATTTAACTTTTACATAAAAAAATCTATTAATATAATGTACTAAAAAAGAATAAGATGAATGTAATTTATGGGCAAGTTTAAATTTTTTGATAATTTTAAGGTAGTAAAATGTAATTTTTCCTGAATATATTTTATATTAACATCACATTGATTTTTTTTTTTTCTAATAAATATGAAAATTCACCTTAATGTTTTGTTTTTTCCTCATGAATTTGGATATAAGTTTTTTTTTTGAAGTTATCCAACCCTTTGAGACGAGTTGGCTCCCTTCGTGTCCGCACGAGCTTCGAATTTGAATATAAGTTTAACAAACTGATATTTTTATTGAGATTAATAAAAAAGAGAGAAAGATGAAGGAAGGAGTGAGGTAGGGCAGTAGTTGGTGTCGCATTTAAAAGACCAAAAAGCAACGCAACGCAACGCTCCGCTCTCTGTTTCTCTTCTGCTCTCCAAAGTCGGCTTCTTCCTCACTCCTTTTTTTTCTTTGGTAAAGTTTTCGTTTTTCTTCATCTTCTTCTTCTTATTCCTCTTCTTCCCTTCTTTGTATTTTAACATTTTTCGAATCACATCGCATGACATTTAGTTTCCCCATCAATCGTGATCTGTTTTGATTATATCTTATGTTGGTGCAAGAGCTTGACTTTTCTAGGTTTACGTGTAAAATTCTCAAAACCATTTTGGCTTTTAGCTTGAGCGACCGTTTGGTTTGTTCGGTTGCCTGATTTTCCTGGTTATGCGATTGAATTCGTAATATTATAGTACTTTTCAGCTTTCTTTCGTTATTCGTTTGGTTTGTAATGATTGCAGTAATGTTTCTTATGAACGAGGAACTGTTGTGTTATTTACTTCTGGGCTACAGCACTGTCCCTGAAATCACTAGACTTTTGTCTCTCTGCTATCCAGTTAATTGTTTTTCAATGTGTTTATTCTATGCTTTATCCTTAAGGTGCAAGAACTATAATGTGTATCCCTTTCTCATTTTAGTCTGCTGATTCTATGGTAATGATTTAGCTGTAAAGATCTGCTAATTGTATAGTTTTGGGAGGACATTTTAGATGGGAATATGCTTCATTCTTGGAGGCCTTTCCTTGCCTTTTTTTAATCTTTGTGCTTTGCTTAACTTGCCCATAAGCTACTTACTGTTTGAGGTCATTCTTTAAATTGGGACATTCATTTTGGCAGATATTCCAATGACAGATAAACTAGTGAACTACAACCCCTAGTCATTGCACAGGGTGAATCAATGGCTATGTCACTGTGGAGACCTCGCACGGCTTCTTCGGCGCTTAACTTGTTCTCCAATGCTTTTCGCCATTTTTCTTCCGGTACTCTCTCATTCCACACTTTTCATTTGGATAAATTGAACATTTCAATTGTATGTTGTAGCAGACGGAGAAAGATGGGGAAAATTAAAATTAAAATCTTAGCAGATTTGGGGTTTCCTGCGTGTTCACTATTTTTAATTTCATTTGTTATCAACGATGTCAATTTTTTCAGTTGAATTTCACTGCCCTTGCACACTAGATCTGGAATGGAGATTATGGGTTCTCTATTGTTTGTTTTCAATGTGCTTGTTTTGCTTTGGTCACAGATGTTGCAAATAGCACTCGTGATAGTGCTCGCGAGAGTATGATGAATCAAATGATGTATTCTGACATAAACTCACAAATTGGGAGTTGCATGCCGCTGTCTGCAATGCGAATTGGAACAATCATTCACAACATTGAGTTGAACCCGGGGCAAGGTGGTAAGCTGGTTAGAGCAGCTGGAACTAATGCAAAGATCTTGAAAGACCCCACATCAGCATACTGTCTAATACAACTCCCCTCGGGTGTTAAAAAGTTGATTGATTCTCGATGCAGGGCCACTGTTGGTACCGTCTCTAATCCAAGCCATGGAGATCGCAAGCTTAGGAAGGCTGGACATAGCCGATGGCTTGGTCGAAGACCTGTTGTTCGAGGAGTGGCCATGAACCCTGTAGATCATCCTCATGGTGGAGGAGAGGGTAAGAGCAAGAGTAGTGGCCGATGGAGCAAAGGATCTCGCACTCCTTGGGGCAAGCCAACTAAGGGTGGTTACAAAACTGGACCCCTCAAGCGCAGAAAGTAGTTAGGACACAACATTCTCATGCTATGCTTCCTTGTAATAAATAATTGCGGAAACTCTCATCCAATTGATTCCATTAGGTTCAGCCAATTTGTGAGATTATATTATGGGTGCTGAATTTTGTACTAGTGAAAGTAGAAATGTTTGCATTTGCCACTGCAAACTGGGCTTGCACTCAGCTTATACAACTCCATTATTCACTAGATGAAGTTTGCAAGACAGTCTATTATGCTTTTATGAATTAGTTTGAGATTAATTTTGTTGACTTGCTTAAATGTGTGTGAGAGTCTGTTTGTTGCTTCTTTCTTTTCTTCTTCCGTATGGTTATTGATGAGAAGAAAATATTAGATGTTCTTGCTTCGGTAACATTATTGAAAGGGAAATGTTTGTTGCGCATAATGTGAGTCTCACATAACCAGCATATTTCAAGGTGGCTATTGATGATGAGGAATAAAAAGAACAAGAAACAAGGAAAGAGAAAGGGGAATATGAATGATACAGGGATGAGAGTTATGTGAATTAAGTGAGAAAGCTTTGTGTTTTTTATTTCGGTACAAGATGTGGCCTAAGCCCGCGTTTAAGTACTAAATAACATTGTCCTATTGAGAGATGTGTCAGAGCTTAAATTAAGTATATTTTATCTGCATACTTTTTTCTATTTGATTCCTTTTTTTTCCCCTCTCTCTCTTAAATTGATGTACACCTTGCTTAGGAGTTCCATATTATTGTACGTACCTACTGAACCTCTAAACAAGCCAAAATAATGAATTTGGACTTTTCAACCCTTTTCATTTTGGAAGAAAACCTGAACACCAAGACCAGGAACCTACAAAACAATCAGGTAGTGTTTGGTTCGGGAGAATTTTTTTTTACTAGAAAAATGTAATTGATAGGAAAATGGTTGGAAAGTGAGTTTGGTAGGAAAATGTAAAAAAAGTTATTTGGTTGACCGAAATATTACCAGGGAAATTTATTTAAATATGTAAAATCTATATTCGGGAGAAACTTTGCACCTGTTTTTTCACTTTCCCAGTTATCTCAAAATACTACATCTGAAGTGGTATTCTGTAACATTGAAATTCATCCAAAAATCAACACAAAAGTCATTTTTTCATCTATCCTATTTGCCTAGTATTTTTTGAAAAAACCTGAATCAAACGTGGTATTTTCCGATATCCATTTACACTTTTCCATCAATCCCAAAATAAACGTTGTGCTTTATAAAATCTGATTAGATTTTATCTTGTTTGTTGCTTTCAGTCAGTTTTGCCAACGATTTTCATGCTATTGGCAAAGGTTTCGGCCAAGACTGATTGCCATTTTAGTCGTTGTAAGTGATAACAAAAAGGTTGCATGAGATGAGTTTGCATAGTTTGAGAATTAATTCGTACATTTTATTAAAAACTATACTATATTGGGCCGGCTAGAACACCAGTATTATTAATTCATTCATAACGTTCAATATCTATTTCAGTAAAAGGTATTTTAGAAATCATATACGCAAATGTTAGATGCTTTGAGGTATGTTGGTCATCATCTTCAACCATTACCCTGCAGTTAAATTGTAAGCTCATAATTGTTGTGTGTGTATATATATATATATATATATATATATATATATATATATATATATATATATATATATATATATATATATATATACAATTTTGTATTAAACTTTTTAGCCAACTAACATATAATAATTGAATATAAAGGCCGAGAAAAGAAAATAAATAAAATAAAATAAAATAAAATAAAATATCTTCGGTTTCCCAAATGCAGCCTTAATTCTTTTTATTTTATTTTATTTTATTTTTTTCCTTTTTGATTGTGTTTAATGCTGAGGCATAGGATATAGTATGAACATGCATTCCCATTGGCCATTGTTACAACTTTTAACGTTTCCTCTTCTTAATTAGCTGTACATCTACATTCCAAGACTCAACACTGAATAAATAATCACAACACAGCTAGCCACCATTTTGTTCAGTTTCACTGATCCAAATTCCAAGAGTGTCACACCTAAAATCCAAATCAACTTTTCAACTGGTTTTGTTTGTTTGTGAAGGAAGATCAAATATCTCTTTCTTTGAATATGAATCCGTTTTTCGTCATCGATCAAAGATCAATGGGCAACATTTCGATTTTGATATTCTTCTCCATCATCATCATCTCCATATCACCCTCTTGTAAGCACCTCAAAAATTTTCTTTAACATCAATTCCATGTAACGCTTTTTATTTTCTATTTATAAATAAAAATAAAATAATTTTATTTCTTCTTCTTCATCCTCATCCTTTTTCTTCTTTTATGTTTATTTATTTATTAATGGGTAGAATCTGACTGAGAATGCAGATGGATACGATTCGTTGGACCCTTTAGGCAACATCACTATCACATGGGATTTCTTGTCTGATAATGGGGATACAGTCGATGTAAGCATTTATAGTTTTGATTGTTCAATATTTTTCTTGTTTATTTATGGAATTTTTATTAATTTATGTTCTGAGTTAACATTATTTCTGGGGTCAACATTCCCCATTTGTGAAGGTATGAAAGTGGCTGAATCACCTTTACGTTTAAAAATCTTAAAAAATCAAACAAAATGGTATTTTTTTTTTAGTACAAAAAAGGTATTTTATTTCACTTCGATGAAATAATTAAATAAATAAATACACTGTTCAGAATGTCTGCGGGTTTTCGATAATATTAATGAAAAGAAGAAGATGGTGCGATTATGTTCAGCTGCGGCTAAGTTCACGTGCTCAACACTGCACACTACTAGTTCTCTCTCTCTCTCTCGGTTTACTTTCAATCACTTCACGCCACGTCACCAAAGCTCAAGAGCATTCGAGTACTTCACCATGTGAGAATCTGGTACAAAGTTGTGTCTTGTTTCTGTGGGTCGGTGGTTACGTTAACATGAAACAACATTAACAAATGATTCATAATCCAGTGTTTTTTTTTTTTTTTTTTAAATCCACCAAAAACCCAAAAGTGAGCCATTTGATTTCGTTTTATTCAACTTTTTTTTAGCATAGTTAGCCCACAATTTAGTTTCCTTGTTCAGAGGAGCGTACATGCATATAGCAATCAAGTATCAATTTTGTTTTGAGTATGTTTTTCTTTTATCTATCTCTTACTTTTCTCGAGGAAAAAAATTATATTTACAAATTTTTTGTTTATAAATTCTTACAAACTGTATTATGTCTGACCAGTCATAGTTATTATAATTTGTAAACGAATCATTCCCGACGACAAGCTGACATTCTCTTATTTTCTTAATTCTATCTAAAATGTAAAGGTTTTTGTTATGTTGGTATTTGATTCTTAATGTATTGCTTTGAAATGAACAAAGTTTCATCCCAGCACAGCACTTATGCAGTTTGCGTAAATGCATGCCAAGTGCTCTTATGTATAGTTTTCCTTGACTTGGTATAGGTGAGGATATCAGTGTACAACTTCCAACTATATCGGCATGTGGAGGAGCCTGGTTGGAGATTGGGTTGGGCTTGGAAAGGTGACGAGGTGATATGGGCAATGTTGGGAGCAGAAGCTACAGAGCAAGGGAATTGCACAAGATTCAGAGGACAACAGAAACCCCATTGTTGTGAGAAGGAACCAGTTATTATTGATCTTATGCCTGGAAGCCCATATAATCAACAAACTTCTAATTGCTGTAAAGGAGGGGTCCTAACATCAATGATACAAGATCTTACCAAATATGTTGCCACCTTCCAGATGAATTATATGAAACCATCAATCTACCTTTCAAATAGCAATTTTAGCATGCCTGAAAATTTCACCCTTGGAATTCCTGGTTATAGCTGTGGGACACCATTTCAAGTCCCACCAACAAAGTTTACCAAAGATGGACATCGATGGCAACAAGTCTTAGGTGAGTAGTGCTCTTCCTTTTGCTTTTTCTTGCACGAGAGTTTTCAATGCGGATGCTCAAGAATCACAAGCTATGGCCTTTTTGGGCATAATATTTTGTGTATGTGCTAGCAAACATTCTTTGCAGAAGCAGGATTTTCCTTCTTTTTCTGGTGTCTTAGCTTTACAAGTAAAATATAATGCTTATTGCTATAAACCTTACTCACTGCATTTTCTTTTTTGACCTTTGAATTATATCAATCGGGTTGGAGTCTAAGAGTGCTTAACATAACATATTTACACAAAATAATGTGAGTTAAGACTGACTTTCGTGCTTATAACACTATCTCTACTGACAGTGTTTCCTTTGCACTGTTAAGTAGTTCAAATTATATGTGCTTTATCTTTATCTTTGAGTTGTGCTATTTCAGAATTCAGATATACTCAATGATAGCAAGAAAATAAATGCTGCAAGTTCTTGTATATTTCAGTAACCTGGTATTTTATTGTCACATTTTTATGGATTAATTGCAGAGACGTGGAATGTGACATGTATTTACTCCCAGTTTCTAGCATCACCTACCCCAAGATGCTGTGTATCCTTGTCTGCATTCTATAATAGTACCGTTGTTCCTTGCCCTGTATGCAGCTGTAACTGTCAAGGGCTACCGGGGGCACATTGTATCAAGTATAATTTCTTCCCACCTTGAGTTCATTTTTTGTTTTGTGCTTGCAAGCTGCTTCTCTATTTTTATGGCTATGTATTTACCTAGTCTAGAATCTAGATTAAAGTCTTTTCTTCTTCGGCCAATAATTTCGAAAAAGAGGAGTCAATTCCCATTTAAAGATGAGGTTTTTTGTTTGTTTGGGAGGAGTCATTTACTTTACTGAGAATGCAATCATTTATTTGTATGACTCCATTATGATCATTGTGTCCAAATTATGCTTCAAACTTTTAGTTTTACTTGCTACATGAAGTGCTTAAACTTGGAGCTGCTTCTAATGGACGTGGTGGGGTTCCTTATTCTACTTTTCTTGTTAATTTGCACTGTTGTTGAAAATTTTCAGTTCTGAGAAGTCTTCAAAATTGCAACTGCAACAAGCACATGGTGCAGATTCACCAACACCAGTAATCAGGTGTTCAAATCACATGTGCCCCATTCGTGTTCACTGGCATGTGAAACAAAGCTATAAAGAGTATTGGCGGGTCAAGATCACAATCACAAACCTTAACTTTGTCAGAAACTATTCCCAGTGGAATTTGGTGGTGTTACATCCCAACTTGAGAAGTGTAACCCAAGTTTTCAGTTTCAACTACAAGCCCCTGCCAATTTATGGAAATATCAGTAAGTTACTGCATTAATGCCATCTTTCATTGAACATAATATGTTGGACCTAATAGTAGTTGATTCAAATTGGAGACCATTCCATTTCTGTTCCTAATAAAGAATGATTCTGAATTTGGTTCCTAAATTAGGTTTATTACAGAATAGCTGAACCAAATAATCACATTTAATCACAAAACAATATGTTTTAAGGAACCAAATTGAAAAACAGTAAAACAGTTGAATAAGTGTGATGACTTAAATTTCATGTTTGAATTGTGTATGAATTTCAGATGATACAGGGATGTTTTGGGGGATAAAGTACTACAATGACATGTTGCTGACACATGGAGAGAACGGGAATGTACAAACAGAAGTGTTGCTGCACAAAGATATAGGAGACTTCACCTTCAAAGAAGGATGGACTTTTCCAAGAAAAATTTCATTCAATGGAGATGAATGTGTTATGCCATCTCCTGAGGCGTACCCTAGGCTCCCAAACACAGCTCATATTGCCACAACAACCCCTTTCATAGTTTTGTTCTCAGTGTTACTGCTCTCAGTATTGTTCTAAATATTTAGAAGGAATGACTATAGGCTATAGTTCAGCATCTCACATTTTAGCATATTCGTAGTTTAAGCTTAGCTACACAGTAATATTGTTAGCTCACCAGCTGTGTAAGTTCGTTGCTGTAACTTCAAATTTTATACCAATAAATCTTTAGCTATATTTTTTTAATGATTTAATCAAAATAAGTCTTTAATAATAATACAAAAAATTCAATGTATATATATATATATAATATACATATTATTCTTACATCGATATAAGAATATGAAATATTATTATTTTCAGTCATTAATTCACTTATATCAAATGATTCATATAATTTATCAATTAGAGTCAGTCATTAAATACAAGTGAGATCTGATTGACATCAATATTAAAAGTATAATTTACACTAAAAAATAATTTTGACCATATATATAGCACTCATGAGTCATAAGTAAATCGGTCAAATATATAAAAACTTAAAAAACGTTTTTCTTTGGAACTTTTAGTTTTTATTTTCGTGATTCATTATAACAAAAAAAAATTATAATAAGACTTTTTATAAAAGTATATTAGACTAAATTTCTACTTAAAAAAGAAAGAAAGAGAGAATCTAAAATTAAAACTTCCCACACAAAAAATCGTGACAAAATAACCTTTTATGTTTTAATATTTGGTACCAGCTAAATTTTTCTTGGCCCTAGTTAGGTTGGAAGGCTGGCTCTACCAGCGGCGAAAATCATAATCATATAAAGGGAGAGAGAGAGTATTGAGATAAGTAGCTATAAAATTATCATCATTAATTTATCTATATAAGATTTTGATTCACTTATATTACATAATCATATTAAATAATGGATAAAGGATTTCTTCAGTCATCGGAGATAAAATTATCTCCAGTGAGTTCAAAACGACGTCATTTTGAGGCAGAAATTAAAGTATTTTTGTAATTATAATATATTGCAAAGTTATATAGTCTTTGTTATTATAATTTTTTAACTTTATAACTTAAAACGACGTCGTTTTAAGCTCGCTGAATATGATTTTATTTTCAAATATAAGCATGCACGTTTCGTTTCATTTCATTCCCTCCCTCTCAATCATCTTATCCTAATCCATCCTGACAGACCTGACTTCTTAAATAGATGAGATTATTTGAACTAAATTGGAGTAATCCACGCAACCATAAAAGTTTGTTTTTCTTTGGACAAAAAAAATTACGATATGTCACCCAACATAAAAATATGCAAAGTAAGATAAAAAAGAGAGAGACCTATCACCTTTAGGAAGACGATTTCTCTCAAATAATATGTCTAACCTTTAAAAATTACTAATTTTTTTTTATCATAAATAATTGATGACTTCAACTTATTGTATCATTTAGAAAGGATGCAAGCAACATTTGATCTATTTAAGACCAAAAACCGAGTCGAATCCAAGTTTCATTACTGACAGAATACAATTCGACATTGAATCGAGGCAAACACAAATTTTTTTTTTTTTTGGTAGATAGGCAAACACAAATTTATTGATGGATAAAAGTACATTGATATCTTGATAAGATTTAATATAACACATGACCCCATCCCATCAAATGAAAAGTTGATGTAACTTTGCCTGAAGCCAGCCCTTCACTTTGTCTATAAACGAAGGTTGACCTCCGAGGGAAAAAAATGGTAAAAATTGTGTCAAAAGAACATGAACTTGCTGCTTACACTAGGCTGAATTCGACAACCATGGAAATTCACCAAGAGATGGGATATATAATAATCACTAAAACAAGCTATTACGTTTAGTCTAGTGATAAAGAGTTTGGGTAGATTATATTAGATTATGTGTTTAATTATCACTTGTATAAAAAAGAAAAAGGGGAAAAATATTTGTCCGTTTAAAAGACATAACTTTTGTCATTTTAGATTCTAACCGTTGAGTTTCGTCAATCAATGGTTATAATTAATTGTGAATAACTAATTAATTAGTAAGTTTAATCTAATAAATTATAATCATTGATTGACAGAAATTAAAAGTTAGGATCTAAAATAACATAGAGTTATATTCTTTAAAAGGACAAACATCTTTTTCAAAAAAATAATAATAAAAACACCCCTACGATTTAGTCTTTTATCACTTACCCTCCTTATGTTATTTTTTTTTTATCTCACGTTCACATTTTACATGTTTAGTAATTATATTAACCTTTAGCCATCACTGTTCCTCCGCACTCCGGATTAGTCCCATAGCCGGCTCAAAGAGTCGAAGCTCGTGGGAATACCGGAGGGAGCCAACTCGTCTCAAAGAGATAATTAGAATTGGGTAACTCCAAAAAAAAAGTAATTGTATTAACTTGCCCATTTTATCTCTATTTTGCCTGTATTAAAAACACTAATATATGGTTGAAATTTTGGCAAAAACCACTAAATCATCAAAGCCTGTTTGTTGTCGTGACCAAAATCTTTATCTCAGATTAGCAAGTAAAATAAGGATAAAATGAACAAGTTAGTTCAAGTATTAATGATGTTAAATGTGAACTTTGGTGAGAAAATCATAGGGAAGGCAAATGATAAGAAAAAAAGCACAAAAAAATAAGTGATAAATCATAAAAGAATAAACCAAAGCAGAATTTTTGAACTCTTGCTTCTAATATAATATAGGATATGATATTTGCCTACAATTTTTCATGTTTAACCTACCTATACTTTTCCAACACCATCTGATCAAAATCTTAAGAGAAAAGAGAAAATGTGAAGAAACGATGTTATGAAGGAATAGGTAAAGTAGGTATAGAAAAAAGTAGACATAACATGGTATTCCATATAATGTATTATAAAAGGGGATATTTTTACTATAAAAAAATCCGCTAGCAACTCACTATGAATCTAATCATCGTTGGATCAAAGAGAGAATGATGAAAAATTTCTGAAGAAAAAGTAAATACTGATCTAACAGTGACTAGATAGGTAATGAGTTGACATTAAATTTTTTTAGTAGTGAGAATATTCTCCTTATAACATAAAAAGTTTAAAAGAATTTTATTATAAAAATTAAGATAATTTTACTGCAGTCTATTTTATTATATTTAAATATTTTTCTATCCAATTTTTAATTTTTAAATTTATTATTCATATATATTTTTTTATATATTGATATTTAGATAAATATAAATTTTTTAAAATTGATTAGAAAATAAAACCAAGTTTATCAGGTTTAATTTTACTTTCTATCCAATTTTTAAACTCTAATTCTATTATTCTTACCATATCTTATTCGTTATATTATTAATATTTAGATAGATATCAAATTTATATGAGATTCACCAAAAAAAAAAAAAAAAAAAGAGAAAGAGGAAGGAAGGAGTGAGATAGGGCAGGGCAGTAGTTGGTGTCGCATATAAAAGACCAAAAAGCAACGCTCTCTGTTTCTCTTCCGTTCTCTAAAGTCGGCTTCTTCTTCTGGCGATTCCTCACTCCTTCTTTTCTTTGGTAAAGTTTTCGTTTTTCTTCATCTTCATCTTCTTATTCCTCTATTTTTTTCTCTGCTTTGTATTTGATCCTTTTTCACATCACTTCGCATGCCAGTTTCCCCATCAATCATGATCTGTTTTGATTCTATCTTATTGTGCTTCAAGTGCTAGACTTTTCTAGGTTTACGTGTAAAAATCTCACCTTTGTGTTTATATATGTGAAACCCTTTTGGCTTTTGGCTAGAGCGACCGTTTGGTTTGTTGGGTTGGGGTTTTTTTCGTTGCCTGATTTTCCTCGTGATTCGATTGAATTGGTAATATTGTTATACCTTTAAGCTTTGTTTCGTTATTCATTTATAATTTGTTTTGTTTTTCCCCATCTTATGTGGCTTCATATTTGAATTTTTTTTAGTTTCAGGGTTGGCATCTTGGAAAATTAAATCCATAAGTTTAAGCTAATTGTCATGTGTAATAAAAATATATTATATTCTCGGAATTATATTGCATTTTTTTGGGGATTTTAATTCTCATACTTTTGAGTGTAACGACCGGTGTTCACATTGAGAAAGTGCATTCCTGCACGGTTATAATATGAGTTATTCTTGCTAATTCAATGACTCTTTTTGATAGCTTTTGGATTATGAACAATAGATTGCACCCGATGTGTTCTTTTCTTTAATTTTTCTTTTAATGGTGTGATATTTTTTTTGGGGGGGGAGGGGGGCGGGGAGGGAAGGGAAGGGAAGAAAGGGTAATGCTATGCATATCTGAGTATGTAAAAGCAATGCCATAAACTTTTTTTGCCTGGATTTCGAGAATTGCAGAAATTTTGCAAAGATTGCAGAAATATTTCTTATGCACGAGGAGCTGTTGTGTTATTTACTTCTGGGCTGTAACATATGTAGATGTGTTGCTAGTACTAACCAGACACAGTACTGTTCTTGAAATCACTAGACTTTTGTCTCTCTGCTATCCTGTTAATTGTTTTTCAATGTGTTTTTTCTATGCTTTATACTTAAGCTGCAAGAACTATTATCTGTACCCGTTTCTCATTTTAGTCTGCTGATTCTATGGTTTAGCTTTAAAGGTCTGCTAACTGTATAGTTTTGGGAGGACATTTGGATGGGAATATGCTTCATTCCTAGAGACCTTTCCTTGCCATTTTTATCTTCGTGCTTTGCATAACTTGCCCATAAGCTACTATACTGTTCGAGGTCATTCTTTACATTGGGACATTCATTTTGGCGAAGATTCCAATGACAGATAAACTAGTGAACTACAACCCCTTTTGGTCTGAACTTCTTTATTGGTCTCTTATCGAGTTCTGGTAGGATAGTTTTGATTTTTCTATTCCTTTTAAGAGGTCCCTAGCTAATATTTCTTTGAATTTCTAAATCACACTCCTAACCTTCCAAGGTTCCTTCCATTTGGAAACCCAAAGCTTCCTCGAAGTCAAGTCTATTATTTGAACAACAGTACATAGCAGGATAAAAACAATCAAAGTGGAGAACTGGAGATCTAGCTCAGACTCAGAGACAATATGCCTTTTTTTTTTTTTTTTACTTTTGTGTGTATGATGACTACTTTCCCATGAAACAATTGTGATTCTAGGGGTCTTCAAGAGGAGCAGTGGGTGCATTGATCTACCCTTAATCAATTTTTGATTGTTTGTTTTAAAAGCTTCTGTAAAAGTGAAGAGGCTTAAATTTTATGATAGTGCAATTTTTTCTATCCATTGGTGTGTGATTGCAGTGGGCACTGCTCTTATTTTTTAGTATGCTTAGCTTTGATGTTCTGTTACTTTGTTCATATCTACTTCAATGAAGTTGATATCTCCATTATGCAGTGAGTTGGGCAACCATGCATTCTTAGCTTTTTCTTTTAACTTCATTGTACATAGACATTTTGTTTGGAGGATCTCTCCTTGTCCTACCAGTTGTACTTCCGCACTTTACTCCCTAATGTAATATCTTTTATTAAAAATAATGTTTTGATTTATTATGTTCATGGTAGCATGAATTTCTCTGATTGCAGTTTTCCTTGAAATGCAGTTTTGAGTTGTTATAAAATCAAATTTGAGGGAGATATTGTATTGAAGTTAAGCTGTTTCTGGTTCTGTTGGCCCCCATTATGGCTGTACATACAAAACCCCGTCTTATTGCTTACTCAGACGAAATTGTAGATGGGCAGTCTATTTTTGTTTCTTCGAACTGTCTTCCTATCAAGGCTTTGAAATATGAACCTGCTGGTCACGCCTTCCATTGTGCTGCACTTAAACTTCGTGGTGTTCAGGAGGATAATAAAGATGCTGATAATAAAAAAGTGGTTGGTGAAAAGGAACAGACATATCTCCCATCTGATTCTTATAGCAGCAAGAGCAAAAAGAAATCTGGTGATGGGGACAAGCAGCAAGACCACTATGCATTATTGGGTATGAGCCATCTAAGGTATCTTGCTACAGAGGATCAAATACGTAGAAGCTATCGTGAAACTGCCCTGAGGTTTCATCCTGACAAACAGGCTGCTCTACTTCTTGCTGAGGAAACTGAAGCTGCAAAGCAGGCAAAGAAGGATGAAATAGAAAGCCATTTTAAGGCAATACAGGAAGCATATGAAGTGTTGATTGATCCTGTGAAGAGAAGAATTTATGATTCCACAGATGAGTTTGACGATGAGATTCCGACTGACTGTGCTCCACAAGACTTCTTCAAGGTGTTTGGCCCCGCATTTATGAGGAATGGGCGGTGGTCAGTCAGTCAACCAATTCCAACACTAGGTGATGATAATACTCCATTGAAAGAAGTTGATAATTTCTACAATTTTTGGTACTCCTTCAAAAGCTGGAGGGAGTTTCCCCATACTGATGAGTTTGATCTTGAGCAAGCTGAATCTCGGGACCATAGGAGGTGGATGGAAAGGCAGAATGCAAAACTGTCAGAAAAAGCTAGGAAGGATGAGTATGCACGGGTACGCACTCTTGTTGATAATGCTTATAAGAGAGACCCAAGAATATTGAGAAGAAAGGAAGAGGAAAAAGCTGAGAAGCAAAGGAAAAAGCAGGCTAGGTTCCTGGCAAAGAAGTTGCAGGAAGAAGAAGCAGTCAGAATTGCAGAAGAGGAGAAGCGACGAAAAGAGGAGGAAGATAGACGAGCTGCAGAAGCTGCTTTACAACAGAAGAAGGTGAAGGAGAAAGAGAAAAAGCTCTTGCGAAAGGAGCGAACGCGTCTTCGAAATCTTTCAGGACCTATTTTGGCACAGCATTTACTTGACATTTCTGATGATGGTATAGAAAGGCTTTGCATGTCACTGGATATTGAGCAGCTGAGGGGTTTGTGTGAGAAAATGGAGGGCAAAGAGATGTTAGAGCAAGCAAAAGTTGTAAGAGATGCACTGAGTTGTAAGGAAGATTCCGTTGATGAGAAAGATGAGAAAAGTAATCAACATAATGGTTCCATCAAGTCTAATGGTAGTGCTTCACTAAGCAACATGGAGAAGAAGGAGAAACCTTGGAATAAAGAAGAGATTGAGCTATTGAGGAAAGGAATGCTAAAATATCCCAAAGGAACTTCACGTAGATGGGAGGTTATTTCAGAATACATTGGTACTGGAAGATCTGTTGAAGAAATTATGAAGGCAACTAAAACTGTTCTCCTCCAGAAGCCTGATTCGTCCAAAGCTTTTGATGCCTTTTTAGAGAAAAGGAAACCTGCTGCACAATCAATTGCATCTCCTCTGACAACCAGAGAAGAATTGGAAGGGTCTGAAAGTAGTGCTGCTGCTGCTGCTGCGGCGGCCGCTACGGCCACCGCCACTGCCGCCTCAACAACAAATAACTCAGAAGACTCTCATACAGATAATCAGAACTCTACTGCAAATGCAAATGGAGTTTCCGAACAAGATGTGTGGTCTGCAGTGCAGGAAAGAGCACTGGTTCAAGCTTTAAAAGCCTTTCCAAAGGAAACTAACCAGAGATGGGAGCGTGTCGCCACAGCTGTCCCTGGGAAGACTATGAATCAGTGCAAGAAAAAATTTGCCGTGATGAAGGAGAGTTTCAGGAGCAAGAAAAGTGCAGTTTAACTTATAATTTGTTGGATTTGGCATGATGAGATACATAGGACAGGAGGCAATACCATACCTGTGGAGTTGCTTTTTAGATTTTACAGCTAAAATTTTTTAGGAGCTCGAACTCAGGATAGGTTAGTTTCATATTCCTCCATGTCCATAGGAATTGGTTCTGCCATTTTCTTATATTATTGCCTTCTTGATACCCTAGTTTGAACTTGGAATACATTTATGTTTACTTACTTGTATTGATTATTATGAGAGAGCAAACACCCCTTTGATATTTTAACCATTTTTAAAACAACCAATATTCTATCATCCAACGGGATCTATCTGGTTTGGAAGATTCTTTACTAAAACAACTACTGAACCACTTTCTTAATTCGCAACTGTACTAAGCTTTCATGATGCTTGTGCAGTTATGTAAAACACGTTCAATATTCCTTTGGGTATATTTCAATTTGCACATGCGGTGGTTTCTGGTATAAGATTTTTGACTTGCAATAGCTGCCAGTTAGCTCAAGTATTTATAGTTTGGCTCAAAAGTCAAGATTATATTTTTCGGGAAGGTTATGTTTACTATCATTTTATATATACTACTCTTATGATCTATTTAATAGAAAAAATTAGCTGCTGTTCATTTTGAATTAATTTAATAATAATTAAATAGGTTAGTAAGAATGATAATCCTAAAATGATAATTATTATAATGTTAATATTGCAATTGAATGAGTAACAAAGTAACTATTTAAATTGGAAAATATTTTATTTGTATTTTTGATTATTACTAAATTATTAAATTTTTGAACCTTATGTTTAATATTGATAAGTGAGAAAGAAAATTAATGGAATGGTAATAATATTTTGAGTATTCTAATAAAAGATGATTCAGTTAAAAGAATTTTTGTTATAATCAAGATTTTGTAGTAATTTTCTTAATTATTACCTAACCACATTTGACACGAGCTGTCGAACTCGCGCAAATTAAAAATTATTTTTTTATTAGGGTTCAGAAAATTTGTAGTAAAGTGGAAACCCTAAGTCGTCTCTCAAGGAAATTGTTTTGGTAAAAATCGCGTATGATGACAGAAAATTAAAAGGGGGGGTTTTGGATTTTGAGTGAATAATTAAAAAGGTAGAATATAAATTTGGAATAAAAATTCGTAATTAAAAATTAACCAACCTAAGGTTAGGGTTCCATGAACGTCTTTCCTCGGATAAAAAGATATCAGAATCGTGATTGATCGTCAATCGAATCAGAATCTTTATTTCCAATTGACCACCTCTCTCTAAGCGATCGCTTAGCATTTGATCAAATACGGTGCTTCTACTCATACAATCGCAGAGTATCAGCCCGTTTGATTTAAGGTCATAGGGTTAATCAATCTAACCATCAAATCTGATGATTAATCCCTTTCCATAATCGCAATCGCGAACCTCAGATTGAATATCCACGATCGCACGATATCAATCTGAGTTGGGAAGGGAAACAAAACTGATTTAAAATAAAGCGCAGACCCTCAAGACTAATCCATGGAATCTGTTACCCTTAGGTTGATGAAAAGGTTCTTAGCCACGCATGGCTAAGGTAAACATGATTAAAATAAAATAAAAAGAAGAAGAAGAAAAAGATGAAGAACGCGAAGAACGCTCCAGAGAAAGTGCTTTGATCCCAAAATATCAAAATTCAGAATCAAATAAATTACCAAACGAATAGACACTATGTAAAGGACTCGAACAAACAGACTCAACAGACTCGGACTCAACAGACTCAGACTCTAAGGTATGCTTAGGAACAACTCTACTGTAAGTAAACCTACGAATTCTATTAGCAGCATGCAATGATCTCTCTATCTCAGGGTCATATGCATATAAATCATCAACACTGATGGTACTCCTAGTCATGCATCATAGGTACGCATACAGCAGTAAAATCACAAAACATACGATAGGACACAAATTTTTTTTTGCCGAAAATAGCAAACAAAAGCAAAATAAATCTACTAAAAATACCAAATGACCTCAGAATGCTATGTGACCAACTCTCCTAAACTCTAATTGACCCTACGGACTCAAAAATCAAATAATATTTTTTCAAAAAAAAAATGAAATAGTAAACGAACGAATTCGGAGAAAATGCCCCACGACTTTTGACAGGGATGATCGCCTTCTTCAGGTCATCAATTTTCAGATCGATCAAAGTAAGTCGAACAAATCCAGAAATACCCGACACGTTCTGAAATGACAAAGAAACACCAAAACGGGTTAGTAAACGACATAATTTGGCAAAAATAAGGGTCACCTCACGCCTTTTTAGGGCGTGACTTATGCTCAGAAGATCGAATTCCTTTGGGAATAGAACTCCCGAAGCCAATCTCTCAAACAGAAGTTTTACCGATTTCTCAAATTGCCCAAAATTGCCCTAAAACGTAAACCGTAATGTAAAATATTCAAAAACTGAGAAAAGATGCATGTGCAGAATCAAATTCCGATGCAGAATCAAAGGTGCAGAAATCGGAATCAGAAACACAAACGAGTACAAACGCAGAAACAAGACAGATGCGCAAACATATTTTTTATTTTTTATTTTTTATTTTAGAAACAGAAACGAAAATTAAAGAAGAAAAAGAAGATGATCAAATTCAAAAAACGATTTAGACCGATGCAATTAAAAGACAAATAAAAAAGAACGGAGAGAATATTTCAAGAGATGCAACCGGGATGATGGATATAAATTGTCTTATGTAACAAACAAAAATAGACGAGATTCGTTCTTTTCTTCTTCTTCTTTTTTCTTTCTCTCTCTTTCTTTAGTGGGTCTTATTCATTTTTGTGTATGTTGCATGAGACAAATTGTTTCATACAAAAAAAAAAAAAAATCAAACCCATAATAAATGTACCTAATTTATATCAATACATTTTCTTTATGTTTTATGTAACCCAATATATGTATAGAATGAAGGTACGGACAACATTTAGATTAAATTTATTAATATTTGTTGATGTTCTTGAATTAAAAAAAAAAACGTGTATTATGAAAATACTTAACATCTATTAAATTAATATAAAATAATCAGCAAATTCTTATGTTAAGAAATCTCCTTTCTCAAAGTTAGTAAAATTAGCATAAAGAGCACGTAGTGTCTACAGGAATTCAACTCCCAAAAACAGTGATCAATCTCACCAGTTGAGGCAAACAAAATTTCTAGACGTGGGTGTTTAAAATAATTAATTTTTAAACTAATTTATGTTTAATTTATTTGATATTAAAAATATTTATAATCAAAATCTTATTAAAAAACCGTTTGAGAAGAAAAAAAGAAACAGAAGGCACTTTTAAGGGCTTTTTCACCCTTTTGCTCCTTATTAATTAATTAATAACCATTTTGCTCCTGATTCGAAACTATCTACCAATCTCCCCTCTTTAATCAACTACCTTGCATTTTTAATCGACTAAACGGTTGTTGGAAGATTTAATCGACTAAATCTCCCTACTTAATCGATTAAAATCATACTGACTTATTTTTTTTTGTTGTCAAATATAAAGATTTAGTCGACTAAATAGGGAGATTTAGTCGACTAAATCTCCCAGCAGCCATTTTTTGTCTGTTTTGACCATTTAGTCTATTAAAAATACAAGGTAGTCGAATCAGGGACAAAATAGTTATTAATTAATTAATAAGGAGCAAAAGAGTGAAAAAAACCCACTTTTAAGTTTTATCTTAAAAATTAATCTGATCAAAATATTGCTATCTAGTCACAGGTCCGGGTTCATAGTGTTTTCGAAATATTAGAAAATTAAACTTTGATTTGCATTATTTTCCACCTAAAAACCCATGACTTCAAACTAAAGAGTTATGTGGATTAATCATAGAGCACATCTAGTCATAAATGAGGATGATAAACCCTCCAATTATTTGAAGGTAAAGAGAACACCAAATTAGAACTCGCAAGCAAAAGATCCATATTTGCCAACATTTGGTCATATCTAGATTAAAAGGAAAATGTTAAAATATAATAAAGAGGACATTGGGGCTACCACCAATAAAGATGACATCCTCCAGCGAGCGAAACAAACGGAAAATCAATAGGCTATAGTAATTAGTAAAGTTACGCTACAGCATTGGTGGTGGTGGATACACAACAAAAGGGAGAAAATAGCAGAAAAACCTGTAAACACACAAGATGCTCAATGAACTTAAAATATGCAGAATAACTTAAATTAAGCTTTGGACATCCATGAATCAAAGCCAGTACATGCCCTTGAGTATCCAATTAATAAAAACTGAATAATAAATTAAGATTAAATGATTAAACATTTGAAATAAAAATAAAAATAAAGGAGCTGGAATGTTGTGTCAAAGTTCATGTTAACGGGAAAGTAACTACATGTTATGATAATTGTCTTAAGATGGTGGAGTATGTTTTAATGTCATGAGCACTGCCATTTCACCTTGTCAAGACAATAAAAGGAGAGGAAAGAACTACAGTGCAGGTAGAGGAATTGGCTTCACAGAAATTTTAATACGCCGGAATGCTGTTCTTACTCTTTCCTTAAGGCCTTCATTTTCACTCTCAACCTCCCCACTTTCTTTGTCGAGCTCTGCCACATTCCCATCAATGTTAATTATCAACTTCCCATTTTCTCCTACCTTCACATCTCCAAAGAGTGCAACGAGGAGGGCAACCATGACCTTCTCTGTCTTCTTCTCATTCTCTTCCTCAATTTTTATGGCATCCGATTCATCCATTATTTTTGGGGCCTCACGGCTCATATTTAAAACTAGAGAAACAATTGAATCTGACACCATGTCACTAATGGGGTCTGATGACCAATGCAAGGAGATATGCTTCTCAGACTCATGCTTCACTGTCACGCACCTATGGACATGCAATGTTGGAACTCCAGATTCTTCATCCACTAAGGGCTCTACACTCTCATATAGGTGTTTGAGTCTATGCTGTATGACACAAAAGGCACCTGAATAAGGGATGGTAATTCTCTGACTAATGTTTGCTGTTGATAGCTGTGAGAAGACATGGAGATCTTCAGGTGCCATTATCTGATATGTGAAGCCTTTTTTTACTAGCAAACCACTGACAGTTTCACCAACTTCTGGTGTCTTTTCGGCCAGCTTGCCAATGGTTTTTGCCATTTTCTGCGAATTGAAATACATCTCAACAGACTGACAGTTTTTTGGAGTGAGGATTTTGGTGTTACGATCAGCAAATTGACCCATGAGCTTCTGTTTGAGCCTCCCCATCTCATTAGCTTCCCCATGAACGAGAATTATGTTGGGAGGATTGAGCTCTTCTAAGAAAGCACTTGTTTGAGCAGAGTCAGCATGAGCAGAAAAGGAAATGTAGTGCACCTGCATGTTGAGAGGTGCAGTGAGTCCATTCATGAGAGTAACTTCCTTGGGTTCATTGATGATGGTTTTTGCCAGTGTCCCTTCAACAACATACCCTGGTATAATGCAAGCATTTTTTTTGTCAGAGCACCACATATCAAAAAATTGCCGTGACAACCCACTCTGAAGTCCACTAGGGCTTGCCATCATCACAGATGGTCCAACATCCTTGAAAACTTCAATGTTACTTAAGGCCGATATGTACTTGAATGAAAAAGGATTGGACTTTGCATTTTGGATCCGGTCATTCATGGAAAGGGTGTATGTCTCGTACACAGTCAAACATTTTTTAGCAAGAGGAGAAGCATAATAGATTGGTATATTCTGGAGCTCTGGATGATTTGCCCAGTATTCATCAAGAATGAGGAGGAGCTCCTGTGCACGACCAAGCGCGAATGCGGGAATCAACACACGACCCCCTTGAGAAATGGTTGAGTGGATAACATCAGTGAAGCGTTTTTCACGCGTGTGGCGAGGCTGGTGGTGCTGTACACCATAGGTGGATTCTATAATGCAAACATCAGGGGAAAACTGTGGTGTTTCAGCAGCACGGAGATGTCTGTCTTCCTCGCGTGAATAGTCTCCTGTGTATAGGACTCGAACACCTGCAATGTCAACCATAAACATAGCAGCACCAAGGACATGGCCTGCAGTATAACACCAGAATCGAATACCGTTCACTTCAACCGTTTGATGGAAATCAATAACCTGCAGTCAAGTCAGTAATTACAGTTAGTGTTAGGAAATCAAGTCAACAACATGCATATTACATATATTAATAACAATACATAAAATATTGAGGTTATTGAATACTTGCATCAAACAGTTGGAGTGCACAAGTTAATTTTAACAACAACATCAATAAATAAAACCATGAAAACATACCTCAATTTTATCCATGGAGCGGTTGATGTCGTGTTCATCGAAGAGCATATCTTCAATAGAGACCTTGCTGACTTTGACAAAATCAGACAAGAGGAGTTTGTAAATGGCCTTAGTGGCGTAGGTCATGAAGACGCGACCTCTGAAGGTGGTTTTTTCAAGAAAATAAGGTAAAGAAGCAGCGTGATCCAAGTGAAAGTGAGTGATGAGAAGGACATCGACGGTAGAAGGGTCAATCTCGTCGAAGTATGGCAAAGCAGCCATGCCGGAATAAGCAGGGTGTATTCCACAATCGAACAATACTGTTTTGCCTTTGTATGTCATGTAAACACATGATCGACCAACTTCGTTTCCAGCACCTAATGGCGTCACTATCAGTTTTTCTTCATCTCTATCTCTGTTGCTGTTGCTGTTTCCACTTTCACGTCTCTTCACTGAACCCATTTCCTAATTCGATGAATCTCTGATTCACTCTCTCTCTCTCCCCCACTTCTACTCAGCGTTAGAAAAAAGCCCTACTACCACTATTCTCACCCTTTAAAACGACGTCGTTTCGTCCCAAATTTCCAGAGAATAAAATGCAAAAAGCCGACCACAGTGGGAGTCGAACCCACGACCTTCTGATCCGAAGTCAGACGCGCTAATCCACTGCGCTATGCGGTCGTATTTGTTATGTCACTTCATAAAAGTTGCTTTATTATACTTCTCAATCACTAAATATCTTCCGGTGTGTTGTACTAAAAAAAAAAACTTCCGGTGTGTGCTCAAAAATTGTACCAAAATGTTTTTTTTTTCTTTTAACTATTATAACACCGCAGTTATTTTATTTTTTATTTTTTTAAAAAAATATTGACTCAATTACTGGAAAGCCTCATCAAACCATGCTTCCTGACGAACTTCAGTGATGACTGATGACCTTAACGAATCTGATACTTTTATGTTTCGTTGCCCAATTGTATTGATTATTATTATGAGAGAGCAAACACCCTTTGATATTTTTAACCATTTTTAAAACAACCAATATTCTATCATCCAACGGGATCTGTCTGGTTTGGAAGAGTCTTTACTAAAACAGCTACTGAACCACTTTCTTAATTCGCAACTGTACTAAGCTTTCATGATGCTGGTGCAGTTATGTAAAACACGTTCAATATTTCTTTGGGTATATTTCAATTTGCACATGCGGTGGTTTCTTGTGTAGATTTTTATTTTTGACTTGGAATAGCTGCCAGTTAGCTCAAATATTTATAGTTTGGCTCAAAAGTCAAGATTATATTTTTTTTGAGAAGGTTATGTTTACCATCATTTTAGATATACTCCTCTTATGATCTATTTAATAGAAAAAATTAGCTTCTGTTCATTTTGAATTAATTTAATAATAATTAAATACGTGTTAGTAAGAATGATAATTCTAAAATGATAATAAGTATAATGTTAATGTTGCAATTGAATGAGTAACAAAGTAACTATTTAAATTGGAAAATATTTTATTTGTATTTTTGATTATTACTAAATTATTAAATTTTTGAACCTTATGTTTAATATTGATAAGTGAGAAAGAAAATTAATGGAATGGTAATAATATTTTGAGTATTCTAATAAAAAATGATTCAGTTAAAAGAATTTTTGTTATAATCAAGATTTTGTAGTAATTTTCTTAATTCTTACATAACAATCTTAAAAGACAAATAAAAAAGAAGAGAGAATATTTCAAGAGATGCAACCGGGATGATGGATATAAATTGTTTTATGTAATACACACAAAAATAGATGAGATCTGTTTTTTTTTTATTTCTCTCTCTTCTCCTTAGTGGGGTCCTATTTATTTTTGTGTATATTGCATGAGACAAATTGTTTCATACAACATAAAAAAAATCAAACCCATAATAAACGTATCCAATTCTTATCAATACATTTTCTTTATGTTTTGTGTAACCCATATATATATATATATATATATATATATATATATATATATATATATATATATATATAGAATGAAGGTACGGACAACATTTAGATTAAATTTATTAATATTTGTTGATGTTCTTGAATTAAAAAAAAACGTGTGCCACACCAAAAAAAAAAAGTGTATTATGAAAATACTTAACATCTATTAAATTAATATAAAATAATCAGCAAATTCTTATATTAAGAAATCTCCTTTCTCAAAGTTAGTAAAATTATCAAAGCAGAATAAAGAGCACGTAGTGTCTACAGGAATTCAACTCCCAAAAACAGTGATCAATCTCACCAGTTGAGGCAAACAAAAATTCTAGACGTGGGTGTTTAAAATAATTAATATTTAAACTAATTTATGTTTAATTTATTTGATATTAAAAATATTTATAATGAAAATCTTATTAAAAAACCGTTGGAGAAAAAGAAAAGAAACAGAAGGCACTTTTAAATTTTATCTTAAAAATTAATCTGATCAAAATATTGCTATCTAGTCAGTAGTCACAGGTCCGGGTTCATAGTGTTTTCGAAATATTAAAAATAAAACTTTGATTTGCATTATTTTCCACCTAAAAACCCATGACTTCAAACTAAAGAGTTATGTGGATTAATCATAGAGCACATCTAGTCATAAATGAGGATGATAAACCCTCCAATTATTTGAAGGTAAAGAGAACTCCAAATTAGAACTCGCAAGCAAAAGATCCATATTTGCCAACATTTGGTCATATCTAGATTAAAAGGAAAATGTTAAAATATAATAAAAAGGACATTGGGGCTACCACCCATAAAGATGACAGCCTCCAGCGAGCGAAACAAACGGAAAATCAATAGGCTATAGTAAAGTTACGCTACAGCATTGGTGGTGGTGGTGGATACACAACAAAAGGGAGAAAATAGCAGAAAAAACTGTAAACACACAAGATGCTCAATGAACTTAAAATATGCAGAATAACTTAAATTAAGCTTTGGACATCCATGAATCAAAGCCAGTACATGCCCTTGAATATCCAATTAATAAAAACTGAATAATAAATTAAGATTAAATGATTAAACATTTGAAAAAAAAAAAAAAGGAGCTGAGAATGTTGTGTCAAAGTTCATGTTAAATATAATAGTCCTAACTCAATTAATTAGCAAATTACATGTAGTTAAATAATTAAGCATGTTTTAGTGAGTAAAATTAAGTATAAGGCTTAATTAAATGAATCTGAGTCATTTTGGAGTTAAAAAGTGTACTCAGTGAAAATTAAGGGGTATAAATTGGTACTGGCAAAAGTGCCCAAATTATAAAAATAAAATTGTAAATATTCCAGACTTTTGGGTAAAGTTTGGTAATTATTGGAATTAAATAGATAGATGAACCGATACCCACATATTACCACTTAACCTATGTTAAGTGATAAAGTAACTAAAGAAAACCCATCTCCCCCCAATGACCCGTCGAACAGCAACAGAAAGGAGGAGAAGAGAAGAGAGTGAGAAGAGAGGAAGGTGAGGGGAAAACCTAGAGATTGTAAATCTCAATCATTTTGAGTGATTCAAAAGCCTAAATCGCTTAGAATCTCGCCATCATCATTAATCCAAGCTTAGTTCTTAGTGGGGAGCTTTGTGTGGTGAGATATTTCCCCAAAAAAATTCGGCCCTTTGGAGAAATTGAGGTGTTTGAGAGTTTCTACCTCCATGGAAGCTTGAGGTGCCATCAATCCTTGGTTGTGTGACCATTGGTGGTAAGATTCTAACCCTTGAACCATGTTTTCTTGGAAATTTCATGATATAGGGTTTTGAATGAATAGTGTTATGGGTTTTGTGAGAATTGGAGTAAATTGGCTATGTTGTGGTAGAATTGAGACTTAGCACATGTTGAGAAAAGTGCTAAGGATGACATTTAATCGGTGGAAATGAGCCGAGATAGTCATTTGATAATTGTTCATAATATTGGAAAATTCATGCTTGGATTGGTTAGTATTCTAGCATGTTGAACAATTAGTGAGTTGAATGATTGATTGTATCCTTGTGATGTCTAGGATTGAGACATTTGGACCGACCGTGAGTGATCAACCATTGGAGCAAGCTATGGAGCTTGATTAGCTCCATTGGATAGGTGAGTTCATGCTTATGTTTGGTATGAATTGTATAGCTTGGTTGATAGCTATGAGATGCTATTGGATGCAATATGTGTTAATTGCATTAAACCTTGTGTAGGTTTTGGTTGAGAAATGAAGTATTGTAATTGAATGACTGTGGAACCTGTTGGTGGTGAACGAAGGGAGACTGAAGCATTGAGGTAAGCCTTCGGACCTTGAGTGTAATTCCCTTGATTGTTCCACCAAGCCCTGAAAGGGTAGTGGTTGTTGATAGTGTATATAAATGCAATGAAATAGTGTAATGCTTTGTTATACATATGTGTATGCATTTGGTGTGGCATAGTGTAACACCCCGTTCTAGAACCGGTTTGTTAACATCGCATTATGATATTAAGCGCAGTTACAATCACATTGGCTCAATTAAAATCCAGATAAGTTTTTCTTTTTAAAATGACGCCGAATTTAAAATAGCCAATTGCGTGATCATAACCATATTACCTTGCGGAATCAGATAAACCAAGCTTAACATCATGTTCTTATTCCATTTTTAAACCATTAATTTACTTCTTATTTATTTCCCAACTTCTACTATATTGTAGATCTCTTCGTTAGCTACGCGTGGTTTCAAACCGCTCCTCATTTGGAGCTCTGTAGCTCAAGTTATGACAATTTTACTAACTCAGGTGTATGCTGAAAAACTACGCGGGTAGGGCGCTTAAGCTCGCTCCAGGGCGCTTAAGCGCCCACAGACAGAGGGAATTTACATTTTTTAGCCACCAAGGGCGCTTAAGCTCGCTCCAGGGCGCTTAAGCGCGCTACCTGGGCGCTTAAGCCCCCATTTTGGGCGCTAAAGCCCCATGCGGCAGAAAGCTTTTGGTCTTCACAGGTGCATCAGGGCGCTTAAGCCCCCTCATGGGCGCTTAAGCCCCCTGAGCAGGCTTAAGCCTCCATTTGCAGGCTTAAGCCCCCTCTTCTGGGCAATTTCCTATACTCATATTTTTCATGCATCTTTCTTGGGGAATCAATCCTACACATTTTACAACCTATTTAACAAGCTTGTGATATCCCTATATCATTGCTCAACTCTCATCCTCTCATCATTGATTTAACGGAAATTGGGCAGCATAATCTTTGTTTTCTCAACGTTTCCCAACTTAGCACAAGGTACCTAATTGACTTTCCAGCTCAACATATCCAATACATAAAAATACATTCATGCATTTAACTTACAGTAAGCATCATACACCAATATCTTCATTACTTACAATATTACATCATGTCTTAATTACAAATCTCATATACATGCCAAAGGACTTAGCTACAAAATGAACATGATCAAAGCAAGTAACCCTGTATCAGATACCCATTACTACTACAATGATCATGCACTAAGTCCTCCAAAATACATCATGTGGCATCAAAATATACATATAGCAATGCTAAATGGCATGCAACTCAACATGTCCAGCTATCAGGTACAGTCTACTCACGCTTCTTGCCTCGATCAACCTCACCTCTATCAGTACCTGAAATGATGCCCCACAACACGGGGTGAGATATACGAATATATCACAGTAAACCAGAGGTCCTTGGAGATCACTCCACCCTAAGGTTCACTTTGATGTACACATAATCATAATAGCTTAACACATTCTTATCCACAAGCATCACATGGACTTCCAAGAGAGATCCACTATGGGCTGTTTCTCTTAGGCTCTTACCACATGGAGATCCACATAGGGCTGTTTCCAAGGGAAGTCCTTTCCTCAATCTAGGAACCTCCAAGAGGGATCCACATAGGGCTGTTCCTCTTAGGCTCTAACCACATGGAGATCCACATAGGGCTGTTTCCAAGGGAAGTCCTTTCCTCAATCTAGGAACCTCCAAGAGGGATCCACATAGGGCTGTTCCTCTTAGGCTCTAACCACATGGAGATCCACATAGGGCTGTTTCCAAGGGAAGTTCCTACCAATCATCCTCATCATAATACTATCACGCATAACCTCAATCACAATCCTCAACCATTACCTCATTCATTATTGCTACTTCTATAATCATTCCTCAATTACTCTTAAACAATCAAACATCAACCAATAATCATCAATCAATCATAACATGTATCAATGCATGAATCAATGCATGAGCATACAATCACTATCATAATTACATATCACATCTCATAAACCATTTCTCCTCAACGGAGTATGGTGGAACACTCAATGGGATCAACCACAAGGTCCAAAGGTTTACCTTGCTCTTTGAGCTTTCCTCAATTGCACACAACCCCAAGGGTTGGTCACTCCACTTGGTCCTCTTGCCTCAATCCTATCAACACAAGGAATACAATCAAACAATGCTAACAATGCAAGGAAATCCATAGTTCCAAGCCTAGATTTCTCCAAACATCAAAGCATACTAAAATAACACTATAAACTCATTTCTACCGATTAAATGTCATTCCTAGCATTTTTCACAACATACTCTAAGCCTCATTCTTCCTTGAACATAGCCAATCTACTCAACATTTCATAAAAACCCTAAAACACTATTCATTAACCCTAAACTCATGCAAATCTCCAAGAATCATGTGAAAGAGAGTGGAAACTTACCACCAATGATCACACAATAGAGGAATGAGTGTTCCTCAAGCTTCCATGGAGGTTGAAACCCCCAAAACCCCAAAATCTCACAAAGGGCCGAATTTTTGAGGGGCAATATCCCTCTCCACAATGCTCCCCACTCAAAACTAAGCTTGGATTATGAAAGAGGAGAAGATTTAGAGTGGTTTAGGCTTTTGAACGGATGGATTTGGTTGAGGATTGCTCCACCTAGGGTTCTCCCTCTCCTTTCCTCTTCCTTTTCCCCTCTTCTCCTTCTTCTCTTCTTTTCCTCTCTTCTGCACGACGGGTTGGGGAGGGACAATTGGGTTTCTTTTGTTGCATTGGTCACTTAACTTATGTTAAGTGACTTTAAGCGGGTATTGGTTCGTCTATCTATTCAACTCCATTAATTACCAAACTTTACCCAAAAGTCTGGAATATTATTCTAGGAATATTACTATTTTATTTTTATATTTTGGGTACTTTCGCCTGTACCCATTTATACCCCTTAATTTTCACTGAGTACACTTTTTAACTCCAAGTGACTCAGATTCATTTAATTAAGCCTTATACTTAATTTTACTCACTAAAATATGCTTAATTATTTAATTAAAATTAATCAATTAAATGCTTAAGTTCGGGGTATTATATTCACCCCACCTTTTTAACGATTTTGTCCTCAAAATCGACAAAACCACTCATTCAATCATCTATGGATTTATCGGAGAACTCTTCTTGTGTTCCCGAAGTTACCCTATTAATCAGTTCCTCTTTTCCTCATCATCTTATCATAAGATGAAATGTTTCATTCATGATTCAATCTATGTTTTATAATTAGGTGATACTAATATGTTCCAGCACTTTTATCTTTCATTTTCCTCAAGGGTCATACCTATTCACTTGATATTTAACCCTGACCTTCTGCGGTCCTACTAATAACCTCATACATAAAATCTCATCTGATGGAACTTCCAAGAGAGATCCGCTATGGGCTGTTTCTCTTAGGTATCTGACCACAAGGAGGTCCCGAAGGCTAACTCCAAGGGAAGTTCCCCTCAATATAGACCTTTCATGAGAATTCTCTATCTCATAGGATACTATCCTCATGGAGGTAATACCACTACATCCATGGAAAGGTCATTGCATACAATTTACCATCTTTTAGCAATCAATACATAGTCTAGTCTTTAATTACTAGACATAACGAATCACACAATCATAATTGAGTCCATAGTCTAAGCATGTGTGGCTCCAACCTCAATAAACTATGCATGTCATATTAATCTACATGCGTCATACCTCCCGTCAAGCGTGGGAACCTCTCTAGCTGGGGTTGGGTCGAAGTGCTAACATTTGCCGCTGCTGAAGGGTCATAGACCACTTGCACATGAGCAACTCGTCCCACGATCTGGGGACAATCCCTCGCATAGTGACCAGGTCTAGCACACTTGAAACATACGTTTTGACCCATCAAACAAACGCCCTTGTGATGCCTCCCACAGTTGTCACACTGGGGCACAAGAGGTCTTTCATTGTCCCAACTCTGTTGACTCCCGCTTCTCTTAAACTTTTCCTCAGATTGTTTAGCTTGTAATCTTTCTTTAATACTCCTGTCATCCATCTTCTTACCCTTTTCTGAAGTAGAGCCAGTTGCTCCACTAGCACCAGATGCTTGTGCCTCGGAAGACTTCTTACTTTTCAGCACACCATAAACTTCTTCCACCTTCCGGCATTGGTTCACGAATCTACCAAACTCTCGGATGTCACAATTTGACATCTTTCGAGACATCTCTCATTTAGACCCCATTGAAATTTAGAGGTCATCTCGGCCGGAATGGGTAAGGCTCTCCCATAGTTAGCATATTTCACCAATTCATTGAACTTGGCGAAATATTGGTCAATTGTCATCGACCCTTGCTTGAGATCGTTATACTCATTCTGTTTCTGTTCCCTAGCCTCCCTAGGAAAATAGTTATCCAAGAACAATGTCTCGAACAACCGCCAGGTGATTTCCCGGCCTTCAGCTTCTAATGGCTGCACGGTATTGGTCCACCAATCTTCCGCTTCCTCTTCCAGCATATAAACAGAGTAGATTAACTTCATTGCGTCAGGGCATCTCATCACCCTGAATATCTTCTCCATAGCTTGGAGCCATTTCGCAGCCGCCATTGGCTCATAACCTCCCTTAAAAGAAGGAGGTTTGTGTTTTCGGAAAGCCATCAATCTTCTTTCTTCAGCTTCATGCTCGTCAACACGCTCAACACGTGGTTGACGGACCTCAGTGTGATGGCTATGACTATCAGAATGGTGGCTAGCCTCACCTTCATTGTTACCCGCTACACCCTCTTCCTGTGAAGGAGGTGGAGAAGGCGTAGCAGTGTGAGGAGGAGGAGTGGGTTGCCGGTTCACGGGCCTAGGACCCCTCAACGTCCTCAACTCGGTCATCATCGCGGCCATAGCAGTCCGCGAGTCTTCATTTGTCTTTAACAAATTTTCATTGGCTTGCCTGCTAGCAGCCAACTCTCTCTGAACGGCT